GTGTGGGGGCACCTTCTCCTGTGTTTGGAGGGAGTCCGACACTGCGTGTGACAGGTCTGGCATTGAATATGAGAAAGCTGATGGAGATTTCTGGAGGTTTTACAAATAGGACTGGCACGCAGCTAAGTGAGGAGGAAGATATACATGGAACTGGGCTGGGAAGGCTTTGTGGATTCCTAGAGGAGAAGTGCCAATCTGTGTCTGATCATTATACACTGGGAGGGGGAAATGGAGCAAAGGAACTCATTCCATCTCCATTCTCTATGTCTTGTGCTTGCTATGGGTTACGGCACACTGTTGCTCTTTACAGCTGTGAAAGGAAATGTACATTGACGAGGCCGCTGTATTTATCACAATGCACTTGTAAACCAATGCTTAGAGCAGCCTCTCCCTACCAGGGTGCTGTGTCCCCATGGGGTGCATTCTGGCTTCGTCAGGACTGCCTTCAAGTTTTTGCTAAAAGAGGGAGACTCTGGTGTGATTATAGGAAAGGGGGGGGGGGGGTGATGTGAAAGGGGAAACTTCATGTTGTCTTTTTTTGTTGTTGGCACCTTCAAAAGGAAAGTCAAAGGCCAAGCTCAATGAACCCTCAGACAGCTCAGGCGGAACCCTAGTAGAGATGGCTTAGTTAGAGTGTATGTCCAGCCAAAACGTTTTTCATAGTTCTGGATAAAGTGGAGAAATGTTAGAACCCCTGTCAGGTTGTCACTAAAATGTGAAATAAATGATCTAAGATTTACCCTCACTTCCCTACTAACAATGTACCAGACAAGAAGTGACGGGAACTCTCCAACACAACACAGGGAGATACAAAAATGCTTTTCTTTTGTAGCGTAGGGGGAACGATAGAACCCCTGTCAGATTTGTATTTCTGTATGTCTCCCTGTTGCAGACCTTTTCTCACTTCCTGTCTGGTGAAACAGTTGTCAGCAAAAACAGGACGCCAGGGTATTTACCTGTAACAGAGTACCAGACAGCAGTAAAAACCCAACAGGAGTTCTAAGGCTTCCCCACTCCATTCATAACTAGGAAAAACTGATTTTACGTGACATACACTTTCAAAGTTGCTGTGAACATGAGGACGCTGAGTGACATATCATCACTGGAGCAGAGGAGGAGACAGACTGGAGGGAGGGGTGAAAGAGCTAGCCGGGATCGCGGTTCGGGTGAATAACTCCCTACACAAAACGAG